CACTGATAGTAAACCAAACAAGACTTTTATTTTGGAAACATGTTCCTAAAATGTTCTGCCACACCTTCTTTAATTTTTTCAACCCTTTCTAAAACTTTTCCTTTCATTCGGAAACAATATATATATATATATATATATCGGCAGAGTATTAAAAGCTAAATCAAACAAAATTATACATTCAAAATTAATTTTTTAATTTTAAATTATATAATAAAAATAATTCTCTCTGATCTTCCCTGTATATGACAGGACACACAGGCAACATCTCTTTTTCTAATTAAAGAAGAAATTAATTCCGACTGCTTAAGTCATTTGGACAACTTCAATAACTTAGCTCCGTTCTCCAGGTGTCGAGTTATTTAATCGTCTGAACCGTGCCTGGCTAGCAATATGCAGCATGAGTCATAAGGTTCATTTATCGACTCTCTAAGTCAGAACAAATTATTATATTCACGAATTATAAGACTCCAAACATATATCTGTGCAAAATTTTGAAAGGAATTATTTAAAAAAATAAATAAATAAATAAAAGGAGTTGAAGTTCATATCTTAAGAGGAAAAAACAGATAATACAAGAAAAATTTTCAGATTTCTACCGTCAGGTCAAAGATTCTGGTATTGAAAAAGAACATAATATTGTACAAATTATTTTCGAATAAAAAAATGGTTAAACCCACAAGTTGGTCCTTAAATTAAAAAATTCTCTGATTTGATCCTTAAGGTTTTCAACTTTAACCCCAATTTGGTCCTTCTGTTAAAATTCATTGACATGCTTTGTTAATTAAGGGGAGAAGAATGACATGTCAAAAAAATTTTGACATATTGGATTGACAACATGGATAAATGAAGGACATGGGAAAAAGCCTTGATCAAGTAATACAACAAATGTAATTATCTTATTCATCCAAAACTACAATTTTGTCCTCATCTTCTTCCTTCATCCACTTTCTCTTCTCTCTATCCTCCCCTTTCTTTCTCCTCATTCTCTGTGTTGGCTCAATTGCTCCAAGAGAGGGGTAAATTGGAATCTTCAAATTTTCTTCTTTTTGCAACCTCTAGATTAAAAAACAAAGAGAGTAAAGAAGAATAGTTTACACAATTGATTTTATAGAAGTTCAGCCCAACCACTTGGCATCTAATCCTTTACCTTGGCTTCATTCACCAAGGATTTCCTCCAAAATCTCCATTAGTGCTCAAGAGTAACTTGAAGGAGCTACCCAATCCTTAATTTTACAATATGTTTTTCACTTAAACACTCCTATTTTACAAAGAAGCCCGCTTAGTTTCTCTCTTGAAGGCTTCACTCACCTTCAAGTATCTCTTCTTGGAGCTTCACTCACTCCTAGGATCACAAAGAAAGGGTAGAAAGAAAAATTACAAAAGATATGATCTCTCAAAGATCTAATTGGTAAGTGTAAGCTTAAACTGTTGAAAAGATTTGCTAATCTAAGCTCAACTCTTGTTTTTGATCTTATAATATGTGTCTAAAGGCTCTCCAAGATGTGTACCAATCATATTGATAGAGCCAAGATCAAAACTAGCCATTTATAGCCATTGGAGTCCATGTAATGCATTGTAGATCAGTTGAGGTGTGAGGAAAGATGCTATAGAATTTGATTGTTAAACCAACCATACCTTTAGTGCTAGCTCTATGTAGCCAGTTTAAGAACTTTAAGTTTGAAATATTAAAAAATCCTTGAAATTTTTTACCGTTAAGCATTAAATGTTCCATCTCAACCAGTTGCTACATCAAAGTTGGCTTCACATCCGTTTCCCAAGCACACCAAGCTATAGTTTTGGTTTCTGGAGCAGTAGAGTTGGCTCTAAACATAAAATTCAATCTATAGGCCAATTTTCAGGGATAGAAGTACGGAAAAAGGTCTCAAACTTGCACAAAATTCCCAAATTCAAACTCCAACTTCAAATACACTCAATTAAGGTCTCGAATTACTTGAAATTCTCAAATAAGATCCCAATTGGATGGAAGATTCTCTTGTCGTTAAATGTCTTGGATGCCATTAACCGTCCATAACTCTCACAACCAACTGGTTGCCACATGGGAAAACATGCTAACTTGTCATTTTTAATCCCAAATGGACACCACATGGATGCCATTAGTGGGTCCCAATTGCTTTTGAGGAAAAAGTACTACTAAAGAGAATCCATGTGGCATCCACATGGTATCCAAGTGGGATTAAAAATGATAAGTTAGCATGTTTTCCTATGTGGCAATCCAGTTGGCTAAGAGAGAGTTATGTATGGTCAATGGTCATCTAAGACATTTGACGACAAGAGAATATTCCATTCAATTAGGACCTTATTTGAGAATTTGGTGTAGCTTGAGACCTTAATTGAGCATAATTAAAGTTTGGAATGAAAATTAAGAATTTTGTGTAAGTTTAAGACATTTTTCCATACTTTTGCCTTTTTCAACACATTAAGCCTTTACTCTTTGATCCAACTTTGGCAACCCATATCTTTTTCATTCAAATTCCAAATTCGATATTCTTATTCTTGTTAGAAAGTTTGGGATGTCTACATTCATATAAAGTACTTCTTGGGACAAAACTTCAACTATAATTTAATTTATTATTAAATAAACAAATAAAGGTTAATTTTGGATCAAATGAAAGTTTTTCAAATTTATAATTTTCTATGGACTAGCACAAGATTCATTAGACGTTTTTGCAATAGTTTTGTTATCATCAAAATCATCGTAAGAACTCAACACTCTACAAGTCTCAATTGGCCAACAAGATCAAAGCCAAATTGAGCACTAACAACAACATTGCAAGATATTTCAACAAATTAAAGATTTCATACAAAATTTCTCCAAATAATCCGTAAAAATTATTCAATAATAAAAAAAAAAAACTACCTATCATCCCAATCTCCAGATTTGGGTTTGGTGAACCCATCAACACAGAACAAGAAAACCCAAAAGAGACTCTTGGTTCCACACAATAAGAAAACCAAAAAAATACTTGTAAAGGCAGTGAAATCAAGTTTTTCAGCTTGAATCATCCTTAGAAGAAACTGATTCATGTTAAGATTAGAACAGTAGTGGAACTCATAGAGCAAAACACCTGTACACCGAGTCAAGATCCCAGTCCGGAAATGCATATCAACCACCTCAATCACCAAATAATCAAACAAAAACCAGCTTAGAAAATTGAAAAAATTCCAGCTATACTTTTGAAATCAAATAGAGGATAAAACCATGGACCTGGAAAAATTGTTAGGAGAAGCATCATGATAGCTTTAACACTAGCAGCGTAGCTTAGCACTACCCACTCTAGAGCCATATTTCGAAGAATTGGGGGGGGGGGGGGGGGGGGGGTGGATTTTGAGATCTAATTTGCAGTGGTTACGGATTTGCTAGGTGCGCAAACGATGGGCAATGGACAAACCAAATTTGGAAGAGAAAGAAGTGAGGAAAATCAAGGGGAAGAAGATGAATTGATTTTGCGAGGAAAATCGAAGGTGGTTTCAGGTGTTAGAGTTTACAGTAGCAAAAGGAAAGGAAGAGGAAAGAAAAAGAAAATGGGAAAGAGAAAGAAAAAAAAAAAGGAAGAATAAAGAAAGAGGAAAAAAAAGGAATTATTTATTTTTTTATCATGTCATTTATTTATTTATATTGCCAATCTTATGTGCCAAAAATTTTTTGACATTTTATTCTTCTATTGTTAATTACCAACCCATGTTATAATGAGTTTTTAATGGAAGAATCAAGTCCGTGCAAATTTTGAATATTTTAAAGATCAAATTAAAAATTTTTTAATTTAAAAATCAATTCAAATATCTATATAATAATTGAGGGTTCAAGTTTGGGTAAAAAAAAAATTGTACAAATGAAGCTATGTTTTTGTTTTTGTATATCTTTTCCGTATATCCAGCTTTTGGTTGAGAAATTCTAGTCAATGATCATGTCTTCAACACAGAAAGTAAGTTCTGCAATCAATTCAAGTTTGTCCAACCTTACATTCACATTGTCATTCTCTCTACCGTCAGTAAAATCCAATAAAATATATTAAGAAAATCTAAACAGAGATCCTCCAAAAGAAAAAGACAAATTTTTAATTTTTTTTAATAGGTTTGAAATGGGAAGTAGGGGATCGAACTCAACCTTTAAGGGATTGGGGAATGTATCTATTAAGGTGGTTAATAACATTAGGTTGAAAGATCAAGTGTAACTGAGATTAAAAAAAAAATTCCCTCGAAAAAAAGGAAATAATCCTACCCTTATTTATCCTTCCTAGCTGTCAACAGAGAAAGAGAGACAATGGCTACGAGGAAAGAAAAAAATAATAATAAAGGAGGGATGAGGAGAGATAGAGAGAGAGAGAGGAGAGGGCGGCTCGGTTTCATAGAATGAAATTATAGTATGATTTTTTATTTTTTAAACTAAAGTTTCTATTTGTTTTAGAATTTTTATTTGGTTGAATGTTAATTTCGACTGAGAATATCCTAATGATTTAGTGGTCTCTATTTTCTTAGTAGGGACTTCTTATTTAATCCTGAGGTGGAGAGATCGAACTTCCACCCCCAACATTCAAAAAAAAAAAAAATGTTAATTTTTATTCTTAGCTTAAAACTTGTATTTTTTCGGTCCTTGCATTAATTTGGTTCTAGAACCATTAAAAGATGAAAAAAGTGTTTAAATTAGTTCAAAAAAGAATATGTTTTGTGCACATTTAAGAGTTAAGGGACAAAAAAATTACTTAAATTAGTTTAAGAACAAAAAAGTATAAAATTTAAATTTAGGGACTAAATTATAGATTTGAACCTTTTTAGTATAGATTTAAAAAAA